TTCTAGGGATTTTACTGTTCATAACTCCAGGGTATGTTTTCCCGCCGACTCTTTACCCACGAATGGCAGGTTATGGTGGAGAAGTCTTCTGTCGTACCGTGTTCTCCACCTATTTCCTGTTCGTATGCGGCAAAGCGTCCAACGCAACAATCATGTGCCTTTCTCTTGAGCGCTGGTATGCTGTTGTCAAGCCAAATGATTACAAGTCCAAATTTAGACGCCGACGGCTATGCATGTATATTGCCTTTATTTGGCTGTCTGCTGCCACAACAGAAATATTTGAACTGTTCATCGCTACACTTGTGAACGGATCTTGCCAGTGGATCGTACCATTCTACGGCGCAAAAGCAGAAAACGGCTTCCTTGTATTCCACGTGGTAGTCACGTTCTACATTCCTAGTATCGTGGCGTGGATCTCTTTTATCCATATTTGGATAAGAATGAAAAGAAATGCACTCCAATCAACAGCCGAGAGAGGAACAGTCAGAAAGAGCGTAGTACGCATGTGCGCAMTAGCGGCGCTTTTCCTTACAGTTTGCTGGTTTCCAACYGAAACGTTCTGGGTGCTRAAAAAATTCAAAGTGTTGATTCTGGAATACGAGTTTTACTTGGCGTTCAATTTGTTAGCCTTCTTCAGCTCATGCGTCAATCCATTCATSTACTGYCTCACAAACCGACACTACAGGCGAGAGGTTCTTGCATCTGCCAGAGGTTGCTGCTGTTTTCCCAGACGACAAGCCCAAGTTTCACCACTTAMATCCACACAGAATTCAATCATCGACAAGCGAATGAATACATTTAAAATGCATGAATTGTACAACACCGAAACTGCAGGGGAAACTACTGCGGAAACTGCAGCGCAGAACTCTAACGAATGAATTTGCTTGTGTGAAAAAAAATCTTAATTGCCACGTGGATTTATCAGTAGTATAGTAAACTGTAGTGCAGTGTAATTTTTGTTTTACTCTAAACTTAAATAAATGATTATTAAATACGGGTTTGACAGGTTTCGTCTAATTCTCAGGCCTTTCGTCGGTGTGAAGATGACGAATAGACTTCTGAAGTTTTTAGTTCACCTACGTTATTTCTGTTGAAATGTGGGATCAGTTTCCATTAGAAAAACAAAACAAAASAAACCCGTCAGTTTTTTTCGAAATCACTTCCTACAATGCATTTTGTGTACAATATATGAAAAAAGGCGGTATTTCATTATCATTTAATTAAAAACCAGAGTCACAAWCAAATAAACTAAAGTTGATGCCTGTGTATAATGAACAATAAACACTAATTAATGCGCTTACAGCTTACAGCGTTTAGCTCTAGATTTATGTACTTTTAAAAGCCCAGTGTTACCCTGAATGCTTTGCGTCAATGATTCGATTTACAGACATATTTTTACCTTAAATTCTTCCTCTAATCCAGTAACTTCTCCTTTGCCAAGTTCTGTTAGTTTTTTAATATGATGTAAAAGGTTTCTGGCGTGAACCTCTGTGTTTCCGGAAGATACGGCTTCGAGTAACGCATCGTGAATAAACATGTACTGCTCCTAAAATTAAAATTAAGAAAACATTAATTTATGATTTGCAGTGTTTAAAGGACCAACAGTAACCAGTCTGCAATGCGTCCATGGCCTAAACTGGCCACTTTGAGACGTTCATAATCAGTTTCCCTTCGTCGGTTTTTACGAAGAAATATTACATTATCTCCATTCACAGAGTATTAAGGGATAACAAATAGTTTGTATCATAAAATGTTTATGATATAACGCGCGCTCTCATTCTCTACTCAATGTTCTGTGCTCGTGGTTCTATAGGCTTGCTTTCTTTTGTGCTCTCCGACACAGCCACAGTGTTATATCAGAGAAGAGAGACACGCGCGCCCGTTTTATATGTCTTAAATATAATTCCCATATATAAAAAGAAGCTCGTAAGGGATGCCGGTCTTGCAATGCAAAATAATTCCGATGAATTTCAATTCTGAATTATTCTTTAACTTCAAACATCAGGTACTCCAAAAAAAAGTTTTAAACTGGCCGGTTTTGAAGGACTTGGTTGATTTAGAGAGCGAGTAGGCTCATTTTTAATTCTCCATACATTTCTCTGCAATTTCCGGGGTCATAAGAGGAACACGTGCACGAAAAATACAAAGAAATGTATAGAGAACTAAAAATGAGTTTACTCGCTTCCTAGATCAACTAATAAATCCTTCAAAACTGGCCAGTTAACTCCTTTTTGTAGTATATAAGGCTCACAATTCATGATTCTTTCAGAAATGGGAATTATTTGCCATCGATTTCTCACTGAATCCTTCTTTTGCGAAACTGACTACCCGTCAACCTGGGGGGTCAAAAGCGTCCCCACAAAGAAAAAAAAGGCTGTTTTTGTCCTTAGTAATCGTACAGGTGATATGATATTGTGTACATATCGTTGTGTTTTAAACGCGTTTAGCGTCGATCTAAGTAAACAGTCGTTATCATCAATTGATATGAATTTCCTCACAGAGGATCATGTGTAAGGTTACGTTTAGTGAAATATAAGGTTTTAATATAAACAAACAGATTATACAAAATTGCGCGTTCTGATTGGTTCGCTATTTCGGATATCAGCCATAATCACCGCTAAGAACCATAGTTTATGGCGTAGGGAGTGGTTTTACTGCAAAGTCATAAATAATATTTTGATATCTAGGACTCACTTATAGACTCGTAGGTCCTAATAGATATGATATAATATGAGCTATTTAGCGCTTTTTTTGCGCTCAAACTTTTGTAGTTTATAGTTATTAATAATCCCTTTTACGTTATGAACTTATTGCAAAGTTTTTTTTAACATTAATATTTAAACTTTATGCTAATTAGCAAAATTTTGTAAACAGAGATCCGCCTATACGATAGCCCTGAGATTGTCTCCAATAATAAAACAGCTACATTTGAATCTGATCTCTTGTAATAAACAATACGCCGCGAAAATGAGAAYACCAATACATTTCTATCACAGTTTTGTAGTAAATTCAGGCCTTGGAATAATATCAAAAATAAACAAGAAACATGCGTTGTGTTTTGTACTGCATATAACGTTAAAAACGGCCGTGCTATAAAAAAAGACCGTATCCTCTTCTTGAAGACAGAGGTGTTGCCATGAGGTATTGCCATGATAAATATAAAACAACTGTGGAACTTGTTCTTCGTAACACACTTTCCAAGGGAAAATATTTTGGTGTAGACGTTTCGCATTTTTATTAACAATAATTAAAAAAAGTAACTTGTCTTAAGATGTTTTAATCGTAGTTTCACATTATTTGATTATTATTATTGGTGGTTTCCACATTACCTCACAGCGGCCATCTTGGAGGAACTTCATCAAGGGATTTCTCATTAGTGTCTATTGTTCATTCCTCCAACATGCCCGACGTTCTTTTGTTGTTTGGATCTCATGGGAATGATTGAAAACCAGCAATAGACCRCTTGCAGTTCGTGGGAATGCAATTCCAACTGGAGGACAAATTCTAGTTCCCAAGAGGGCAAAAATCTTTTGTTTTGACCTCCAGATGAAGCTACTTTGACGTCACATGCAAGGGGTCTGTTACTACTATCATGACTTAGATTGAATTACCTTGGTTTGCACCATAAAATCTCGTTGTGTTCTTAATACTGTCACATGTCCATATATATCCACTGTGTTTTCGTGTTTAATTCGCTCCAGCATAGAGTCAATGACAATGAAACAAGCTGTACGACCAACACCAGCACTAACGAGAATCMAACATTAAAATTAGAATATTCTTTCTTTTTTTGTGGCTAGTGCCTTGGAGCTCAAACCATTATTACAAAACACGTTGTAGGAAAGAACGGTAATGAACAAAGGGAGATCGCTTGACCGAAAAGTACAATGGTTGCGCAGATTGACATTTCACTTGTCCTGTTCACTTTGAGTGAAAGTAGAGACTGCATAAAGACTATTTTGCAGTAAAAATCAGTTATATTCCCCATCAATTAGCAAAACCCATGGCTCCTTTCGGTCGTGCACTCTCTCTTCGACACTTGTTATTAGCCATTTTATGCGACACTTCTATTTAAMAGAACTTCTATTGGCGTTAAAAATCCGATGTAACATGCAGGCTTAGCCTCCTTCGCAGGCTACTCCATCGGAAACGGACCTTTTTCTCTTCTTGGTCTTCCTGTGTTCATAATCTTGACCGAGAAGAACTGGTGTCGAGAGATTAGGAACAACGAATAAGCTTTTTTTCTTTCTTTTCTGCTTTTTCTTCCTTCCTAGCCCCCTCCCCATCCGGCAGCTTTTTTTTTTTGCCTAAACACAGGAATCCCACATAGTAGAGTTCCCTGCGAAGGATGCTAATGCAGGCTAACGGTTTGCTTGTGTCACGGTATCATGATGCAATGTAARTACCAACAAAAAACAACAATATAACAGCAATAGAATTACCTGCAATGAACGGTTATTGGTCCAGCGTCAGGAGGATTGTAAAACCTCACCCTCCTTAAAAAGGCCAGGAAAGGAGTAGGATGTGATGGTACTCCATGATCGGGCCAGCCGGTGAACTGGAARTGTTTTACCTCACGAGGCTGAGATTCATTATCCTGAATAACAATGAAGAATTCTAATTTCAGTTATCGATTCATTATCGATGCCTTTCAATTTTTGTAAGGCTTCTCTTTTGGATGATCATAGCAGGACTGGGAAGAAAATGAAAAAAGTAGATAAACTGAAAGAGAAACTGCAGGTCTTGACACCGCTTTCTTATGCTCACAAATATCTTAGAATTGTACAAATGCCTTCTGAATCTACTTTTCTTTCTTTGACGCCCATACCTTAGATATTTGTAATGTTGTAATTGTATAATTAGCTAGCTCGACCCAGTCGACTACCGCCACCTCTATCTCATCGTAAGTACTGGTACCATCATTGGGCCAGTACTGGTCACATTTCACCTAAAACAACAACACATTGTTAKTATACGATGGGAGAACTCTACCAATATGGCGGGACCGTGGAAAGAATAGACAGCGGCTTTTCGATTAGGCCAACATTACAGACATGCTCGCTTGGTGGTGGTAAACATGTCATCGTAAATACGTTTACTAACCCTTCCTCTCTCTTCTTCACGAGTTAACATTACAATTGTGAACGTTCTCTGCTCCCAAACCATTCTCCAGAAATCTGCTGCAGTGTGAGGTAATGGACCTTGGAAGGAAATCAAATGAAAGCCATCGTATCAAAGTTTGTGTCTAAATACAGGGAAACGACGGGGTAACTTTGGTCAAACAAAGATTGATTCTAAGTTGTTTAAAAGATGATTTGTGGGAAAACGAAGATAGGTATATATAGGTGTTGCAGTCTATTATCTTTCACGAGTTTGAAAGGTTTCTTGTGATTGGAGGAATAAAACAATGCTGATTGCCTCCTAGCTAGCAAACCAATCGGATAAGATCTCGCAAAACAGTGAAAGTCTACCCGTTGCGGTTCCGGGAACAAAGGAATCGAAACAGAGCAAAAAAATAAATTGTTTGAGAAGACAATAGGAGCTTATGGGGAAGAAAGAACTTATGAAAACATAATGTCAGCGGCATAACAACAAAAATAATACGAAAAGAAGTAAATTTATCTACCTTGAGTCGCGATGTAAGCATTTTCTTTTCGATATCCCTAATAGCATTAAGAAATGAGTATGATATAATCACTATATAAGAAAAACACTATCCAAAAATCTACAATTATCAATGTCCACATACAATTATCAGAAAATTCACTTACATCACAGAAGTTGGCATTAATGTAGTCCGAGCCTGGTATTCCTTCCTCAGGCGAAAGTCGCACACGCGAATGATCATCTAAAATCAACGAGATACCGCCATTATTATAATWACGTCACAAAGAACAGATATGAGTACTTCGCACTCTATTTGCCTCTCTATGAACTCACAACCCGAGAAAAGTGCTGTGTGAAGGATAGCAATCCTTTCATTCATTTTTCTTCTCGTTCATTTTAATCAGCTCTATTTCATTTCYTTCTATTTCTTTCCCATTTCCCTTCTGTTTACTTACATGCATGGATATTGGGATAGCGGTTCTTATTCCTATTGACTTCTGCTCTCGACGCATCTGATGTGAACGACTGACCAGTATCAATAGACTAGAATAAAAATAGTTGACAAAAAAATAAGTCAGTTTGTTTGTAAATAGGGGCCTTTAATCTTGCTGTATAGACTAAATGAGCGTTAAAAATTACTAACCACAGAGCTGAATAGAGAACACAAAATATTAKCATGATACAGTATGGCATAATGACGTCACATATGTTTACACTGTGGATAGATGCTCAGAAAGACTCGAAATTTATCATTTATCAATGATATCTCATGTACATTTTATTTGATATGCAGTCACTCTGATCCCTCGACCATAATCCTTAGCGYTAAAACAATAGAATGTTTTGGTGAGACGTAATTATGGGATAGGGCAATGAGAGATTTGTTATCTTTGATAGTTGTCTTACTTACATCATATTCATGTGTAAATCTGCTTCCGCTGTCTGCTTTGAGATACGAGGTATGCTTGGCCAGTTCGATGACTGGTATTGGTGGATGATCCATCATTGCTGCAAAAATAGTCTATGATCAGTACAGAGCACGCAAACGGCCATTTTAGAAATGATTGGTTTATACCAACCTGGTGTTTGGAAATTTTGACGTCGAAGTTCGACTGGATCACTCGGTTCGGACTTTTCTTCATCTTTCTCYTTTTGGCCTTTCTTGCTTCGCCTTCGTCTAAGCAAAAAAATAAGCAAAAATAATTATTACCTAATTCGCACTAATTTTTTCGAGTACTTGATTTCGCGAAATCAGAACAGGCATGTTTCGCGGGAATTAATTTTCGCGTTTTTGCCAAATAATTTCCTGAATGTGTGGAAATKTTTTGTGTAAGGTTGTTTTCGCGGGTTGGCATATACACGTTGTAATATACGGTTTAGAAATTCCGAATACTTGTGAACGCAGCTAGAAATGGTGTTTATTTAAGCAAAAAACAACACATTTTCGTGCGTTTCTTCGGCTCGACAATTTGGCGCCTTTTTCGTGTTCTCCCAACATCACACGTGGTTTATTTCACCAGGAACGCACGAAAATGTGCTGTTTATTGCTTTTATATTATAGTATTTTTGCATCCGTGCTTTTACCGGTGAAATACACAATAACATTTGACCAATCAGAGAGCGCGTACTATGATCGCAATAATATAATACCTTTTTAATAAACAAAGAACTGTTAGTACAACCACAGCCAACACCACGATAAACGCGACGGCCAGGATGATGATCAGCGTTATTCTAGATGCCGATTCTTTCGCACCTATTTGACCTAGTTTACTGGGAGAATCTATGGAAATAGGAAACACAATTGAATTAAAAATGAATTTTAAAGGTATGGCAATGAAAGCAACAATGATGCAAAACAAGTTGGAAAGCAATGGCTGTGCATTTTACTACCGACGAATCGAAAATTATTTGTTGCAAACTGATTGAATCACAATTTCTTGTTTCTGACTATCGCACGAAGTAAATGAAAATACTTACCTAGTGAAACAGCTCTTGTAAAAGGACTTGATGTGTAGAGTGAAACCTATAGAAAAAGAATTTCGAATTTCAACACGTGTACACATGCATATGTCGAAAAGCTATATACGTGCTTACATACATCATAGTGATTCAACGGATAACGAAGGTGGTAGACACAAAAAYATACGTACCCCATCTTCATTCTGCACATAGGCTCTCATAAACAACGTGTAATAGGTTCCTTTCCTTAACCGTTTGTTATAATAACCATAACGGTTCTTAAACTCTTCATCGCCAACTTTAAATTTTTGTGGCAGGTATTCAGGTGTAAACTTTGCTGCGATGTAAGGTTTGTGGTCAGCCGCTGACCGTCTAGTTCGTTTTACACGCTTAAAATATTCGTCAGGTGATTTCTCGGGTAAGACGTTTTTGTCRCCCAATGGAACAACGACCACAAAGTAGTATCTGTGAATGCGGACATTGTGAATATTAAAATCGTCATGCAGATAGACTAAGTTAACGTATCGCGATAATAACGTTTATAGGAAAGTGAGTGTGAGTGAGTGAGTGGCACAGCATAACATGAGCCTCACGCACAGTCAAACAGACGATTTGGTTGACATGAAGTGCGCAGTGGTTTCAAAACTTGTAAAAGTCAATTTCTGAGATATGCTGCCGCTGTCTGAAGCATCGCAGCTGCGGGCATGAAAACGAGGTAATTTTGAAACTTGCTATAGTTTTTGTCTGAAAAATGCCTTGTTTAATGAACGCCTACGATATTTTTGAAAGCTTCCACAAAATCGTCTATTGACCTTTTTCAACCATCTCCAAGAGAATCAAAAAATTAAAGACAGGCGGCCATGTTTGAGGAATGAACAATGGATACTAATGAGAAATCCTTTGTTCAAGTTCCTCCAAGATGGCCGCTGTGACGCATCGTGAAAACGAAGAATACGCTACTTCTGCTTCGTTTCGAAAACACGCCAATACCTGATTGGTCCATTGATCTCCGACACATTCCTTAATCTCAATGGAATATAGCCATTAGCAATCTCTTTTGTCAGTATMACAGGGGGGCGGAATTTAGGGGGCTTGTCTGTCTTAGTCTTGATGATTATATCGATCTTGGGYCCAGCACCTTTCTTGTTAATGGCAGAGATGCTGAATTTATAAGACATRTGAGGGTTGAGGTTCTTGATAGTATAGGTTAGTTTGCTGGTCTGTTGGGAAAGTGGGATGGCTATGTCCTTGGCATGTGTAAGACGTTTATCTCTGCCGTCTAGTTTGTATGTCTTTGATCCATAGAATGAAACCTGGARAACGAGAAAAATACGTAATTACTTTAAGATGCAATAGCCGTTTTCTGAAATAGCATTACGCATTGCATTATGGTCTAGCTTAGTACAAACAACTTTTGTTCATGCAACCAAATATGGTATTGTTTGTACCGAAGCTAGACCACAATGCACCATGATTTTGTATTTCAGAAATGGTCTATGACGCCAATTTAATATAAAATACTCCAATTTCGAGTTCTGGTTTGCTCTGTGTTAGCCTCAAACCAAGCAACATACTCTTTTGTTTTATTGATAGCCCGAGAAAACGTTTCGACTTTGTGAAGAAAGGCAACAGAATATATTTGAAATCTCATACTTTTATTCTCACAATTAGGAATATTTTTGCACAAATTAGATTATTGAAAACGYATTCACTTACTTTATAACCAGTAATACCAGACTCAAATGTTGGCGGCAACCACTGGATAGTTGTAGAGTTGCTGCTGAGTTGGACTGCCTTAAACTCACGACAGAGTCCTGGGACTATAAATAAAATATACGGTTARAATACAAAACAATACTATGTTCTTTCCACGCATAAATATTTCCAAAAAAATACATGATAAATTTTAAATACAATGTGGAGGATGTGTGAGGACAACCTGAATGTTAATCAAGCTCACATATCCTACATAAAATGATAACAAAATAATAATAATTAGCGGACAAGAGTGGTAGGCGCGRTAATGTCAGCAATATGCAGTAACAGTATTGAAAGCCGCTTATTTAAATTTAKTTTTTAGTCATTTTTGTAGTTGTTTAAGGCGAAATCCAGAAAACATTAAATGGTCTCTGKTTACAGTTTGGCTTTAAAATGAGTAAATCAGTTTCGCTCTTTGTGGTATTAGATGGAACAAACAAACAACAATATCTCTATCGCTTTGTTTGTACTTACCATCGAGGGTAAAAGCAGTCAAAACGTCTGAGTAGTTTCCAAACCCCACAGACGTGCGTGCAGCTACTTTAACCCAGTACCGAGTATCACGTGACAAGAACCTCAGCTTCGTACCCAGTAAATCGCTCTTTTTGATTTTCCATTTGCCTGATAGAGACTTGTTGCTCTTGAACATCACCATGTAACCTTTGATTTTGCCGTTYGGATTGTCTGGTTCTTGCCAGTCGATTGATAAAACTGTTGCGCTCTCTACCTGTACTTTGACATTGGTTGGTGGACCCGGTCCTGGTGAATAAAGTATGTCAGTGCTTCAAACTTCCTGAGTTAAACCTTCAACAGAAAGACCAGTCCCCAATAACTTTGGAAAAGAGACTTTTAGTTAGCTTGTGAACATTCTGGACTAATCACTACTGAGTGAATCTTTTAATATCAAGTTTGCTTTCAATTGCGACTAAATATGGCTAAATGTATTTGCAAAAGCAATCRCAATATCACATATCACACATTCTGTCTCCGATTATGTGGCTTAACATCAACGAGATTGAGGACGAGTCCGAGTCTTCACAATTTGCGCTACGTTAATACTGTTTGTTATAAGTCCACTTTTAAGTGTTTTGATGTTTCTGATGGTTCCAAATACTTACAGGAATGCATTTCATCATTAATAGCACGCGCAGAGTCAATTTTTAAAACTCGTACTCGTACTCAGTTTCGTACTCGTCGTCAAATCTTTGTTCCCTATAGACCTCTGAAGCTTTTACGTCATGTACCATACACGCAATGCATTTTAGGCTATCTTTGGGACAGAACATGGCGGATTTCTTTTGTTTTCTCTAGAAACTGATCCCACAATGCATTGAAAATCAAGTAGTGACGTAAAAGGTTCAGAAATCTATCGTACGATTATGTGTGACCAAAACTCCAAGTCACATTTTCAACTCAGGATTCTACTTACTGTCCTCTTTGGTTCTCTCAGCTGACGGGTCACTCCACGGCCCATTACCAAAYGCATTCACAGCACGCACTTTGAAGTCATACGCAGTATACTTRGATAATTTACGTACAACCAACCTGGTTTGGTTAGTGTATGGTATAGTGGTATCTGTGGGATTATCTCGTTGATTGAGAAGGCTGTAAGACACCATATATCCYGTGATATCTCCATTTCTTAACCAGACATCTGGTGGAGACCATGTGATCCTTATACTGGTAGAGGACATTGAGCGAGTACGGACATTCAGAGGTGGCCCTGAAGGCTTTGCGGGTGGAATTTTAACCCATTTYGCTCTCTCTGGCGACCAGCCTGCCTTGGTTCGTAGTGATACGTTAAACAGATACCATATCCCACGACCTGTCAATTTAAATCAACGAGCGTTATGAAATTATTGATAGAATACGCGCCTTGATTGGTTATTTGGACATTGTAACATTGTAACATTGCTTAAGCCTGGGATAAGACCCGACTGAATTTGCGCGCTGTTTGTCAGTTTTAGTAAGGYGTTTTGTCCTGAGATAAAGATGACGAGAAGCTTTAATGCTTYGATAAATTGAGGCTATCGTTTATTTTTGCTGTTGTAAAGTGTCGCTGTTTTTTCATTTTTTTGTGTTTTTTTTTTTTTTTCGAAATTGTTGCTCAAGCCCATAAACGTATCTCGAATACAACAAAGGAAATGCATACCTAGACCTCTGAAGACATATTTATTAGTACKACGATCTAGTGGCAATTCTTTCATGGTCTTTCTTAAAGCTTTCATCTGACTCTGATCCCTCGCGCGAATACGCCTYAGCGATCTGCCGTAACGAATYTTGTACTCTTTCACATCGGTGACTGATGTCCTCCAACCAAGAACAACGTCAGAGCCCTTGACTTGCTGGACAAAGACGAAGGGAGAGTCCGGTAGACGAGGTAGGGTCTTGGCAAGTTTAGTGACACTTCGAGCACCATCGCCTTTAATTGTGTAGCCTGCTACATCGATCTGGTAAGTAGTTTCTGGKGCAAGTTTAGTCAAGTAAACTCTCTGTTGAAATTGAAGCGGAAAAGCCACTCAGTGAAAACTAAAAACTAACAACCTTTTATTGATATGGAATACAAACCAAATTATTTTCATTTTCRGAATCCTTGCTTTCCTCAGGCGACGGTGGTTTGAGCTGGTTTCCTTTRTCATCTACWATAGAATAGAATACCATGTATCCCATAATTTTTCCATCCATTTGTGATGACGTCGGTGGAGACCACGTGACTTCAATGCATGACGAGTTTCTGACACGTACTTTGAGGTTAGTGGGAGCACCACTGGGAACTAGTGAGAAAATGAGAAATCATGACTTAAATCTGGTAATTTGCCATTCTCTCGTTCTAAGAGAGTGGCCGCTGCTTTAGTTGTCAACAAGCAATCGTGGGTAAAGATCTTTCCAAAAACAAAAGAAAGCAATAGACCTCATTGGCTAAAGCGTTGTTATAAACGTTTCCACCCAATTCAAAGTTAAGTTTCATTGTTCATTGTATTTTCATTTGACAGTTGAATTCTTAGAAACAAAATTTTTTTTCCCATAGGATTTGAATTGGGTGGTAACCTACGTGGCAACGCGTTAGCCGATTAGATCTATCAAAAACGTTGAACTCAAAGATTTGTATTTATTTCTGATTTGAGGCTATGCCCGCACTCACAAACCCTTCGGCAAACAATATTGCCATTGGGTCGATGGAATTTCTCATGTTAATTTCCGCATTTTAACGCATGACAAACATATTGTAAATAAAACAGAAATGTTCGTAATTTGAAACATGCAGAGATTTGTTTGGTTCTTACCATCCTCAGCGGTCGAGAATACGTGTTTGTCGCTCTTTGGTCCTTCACCTTCCTTTGTTCTTGCCGACACCCAGACGAAATAGTTCGTAAACTTCTTAAGATTATGCAGKACAACACTTGTTTTGATGCCATCAACTGTTACATATTTAGCTTTMTCTCCCTTCGCTTTGTACTTGATGTAATAGTGTGTTATTCGTCCATTGCGATGAATCAACAAAGGTGGATCCCACTTKATTTCCAACGTCGTCGAGTCGCGACTTTTACCGAYAATGTTTAAAGGTGCACCACTTGGAACTGAAGGAAAGTTTACAGTAATCCGTGGTGAGTGAGTGAGTGATACTCGCATTAGAAAAATACATAAGTAAATGAATGATACTCAATTAAACATAAATAAATAAATATCGATTGCGCAAATATGCAATGTAACGAAACTGAAACAAAAATTTAAAGGCCAATTGCATCACGGAACCTTAGCGATAGTTAAAATAAAATGGCGATTTTTCGTATGTGAGAAAGTAAAGTGTTCTCAGATGAACGCGAGACTTTAAGTTGGACCAGTTGCCGCCTTGGCTGCAACTTAAATTCTCAAAGCCGCTTTTTAATACTTTTGAAGACTGATTGTACGATATACATTTGTTGTCAATTGTTTGTAATTTTCAACTGCTTGYAAAATTTGAACAATGTTTGMAAAGATTCTGTGTGCCAGTGACCCTACACACACTGTAAAACCCGTAGCACGAAAATCTATACATACGGTAGCTAAAATCCATTGCCTTTTTCTCGATAGACTTACTCACAATCATTGCACTGTATTAGTTTTTGTAAAAATAACCAATAAAAACAAACAAACAATACAAAAAGAATTCTAAGAAAAAATCCATTGTATTATTCTCGGTGGAGCTACAAACTGGACCACGAATCCACAATCACTGAACTGTATTTTTKGGAAAATAACCAATGTAAACAAACAAATAAAAAATAGAAAAGTAATTCTAAGTTGTCAAAATTATTACCGTCTTCCTTTGTTCTTACTGCAGTAGGAAAGGACATTGGCCCAATGCCTTTATCAGACTTAGCAGCAACACCAAAGTTATAAAACGTGTACGGAGAAAGTCCCATGATGTCTTTAGTTTGTGCCGTCGAGGCCTCTACGTTCACATCCATATCTTTGGATGTTTTGTTGTAGTAAACTTCATAACCAAAGATTCCATCACCAGGGTTTTGAGGCTTTGACCAGGAAATACGAATAGATGTTGACGATATTACTTCTAGTTTGACATCGGTTGGTTGGCCAGGTACTRAAATGTTTCAATAATAACAGTTATTGAAGTATGCCTTGGGAGRTTCTTTTCCCATGTAAAAATGTTGTTATACACACCAGGGTTAAGTATTTTTTTACCACACTTGTGTAAATTCTCGCGCGCTGATTGGCTGATAACATTGTCAATAAGAGGACATGCACTCTTACGCACGCTCAGTTGAAAAATGATTTTCACTATTTTGTAGACTTAAAATGTGGTAAAAAACAAATTGCTCACGGTTTTTCGTTGTATGTCCTCTTAATGACACACTCCTGACGTCATAAAAAATGTTCAAAACTTGCTGCGCTCGTGGGTCCACTCGAGTTTTGAACATTTTATGACGTCAAGAGTGTGTCCATAAGAGGACATACAACTCAAAACTATGCGCAATTTGTTAAATATCTTCAAATATGCAATTTCTTTAAATTTAAGTTCACCTCCTTTGTGCGTCTTGACAGCTTTAACCTTAGAAAAGGGCCCCGTTCCAGCGATATTGTAGGCAGCGATCTTAAAATAGTATGTAGTTCGTGTTGTCAGACCCGAAACCGTTGTGTGGTTGATKGCCGTTGCCATGAAACGCCACTGATTGAACGGTAGTTTGAGATCAGTTGAGTAATATAGTCGATAGCCWCGTATTGCACCGTTGGGCTGTAATGGCGGCGCCCACTCGGCTTTGAACGATTTGTCTGACTTTCCTTTGGCTGTGATGTTTATAGGAGGACTGCCTGGTTCTGTAAATGACAAATTATCGGTTGACAGGGGTCTACACTTCAAGTGTAGACAAGTGTAGACATTCAGGTGGAGATGGATGTGATCATAATATAGATATGGACGCGAATATACAAACATCCGAGGTTTGCATACATGGTCATCTAATAACAAACAAGTTGCGCGAGGAGCCTCTAGATTTGAACCAATTAAAGCGAGGCAAAATCACTCAGGCAACAATCCAAAAAGTTGTCATTCTTGAGTTTGTTTATCCTTTTGCAATGTCAGAAAAATAGTTTTTGATGGTGGAAAAAATCATAATTTTGACACGACACTCTTGTTAATTTAGGGGCTCCAGCAAACATGTTGCCCGCTTTGGTTTTAATCGCGAAAAGGTCAATTAAAAAATTAGATTTTAATGATTACTAAATAAGTTTCGTATTTTCTTTGCAAGAATGTAACTTCTTATGCCGTTTCTGGAAAGGAAACACAAAAACTAATTTATGGATTGTTGTAGCTGATCTTGGCTGCTGTAGGAAAATGGGTATTGACTAAATTTCCCATCATGCTTTCCTCTAGGGCGTCATGGCGAATTGCACGTTCAGTGTCTATTTGTATAGAAACCGCGGAGTATTAATTGACTTCACGTTTACGCATTACAAGATTTCTTGGATTCAAAGTACAACATGAGAAATAGGAAGTGTGCAGCGAAGGCGACGCCATTTTGAACAAGAAAACATGATGGGAGTTGAAATCCCAACACTTTTAAAGCCACTAAAACTCCCCCTAAAAGCCGTTTACASGATTTCTTTGTAAAAACGGCAAAGCTACTTCAATATTAGCAAACACAAATAAAAACGGCTTTGGGTTGTTTTAGAGGACATGAGAAATGGCGACGACTGCAACTCCCAGCATGCTTTGTTGAACAAAATGAGGCCATTACACATTGTCTATCATTGGACGCTGAGGTCAAGACATGGACAAACACTGGAGTATATTTTGAAAAAGGCGCATCAATTGGCTGACTGAATGAATGGCTGATAGCCCATGAGGCCGAATGGGCTATAAGCTCGTAGTCCACGAGGCCGAGAGATCTAATTGTTTTAGTATTACCATACTAGTTGGACAAAAAATAAACGAAATATATAAATAACTAAACGTTTTTATTGCTAAAAATACGCAAAAATTTGTCGCTTTTCGCTAGTCGAGGAATATTGAAAATAGACCCCGAGTAATGTGGGCAATCAGAACGAAGGATTTGCAATAGTCCACTAGTATGGTAATACTAAATATGTATATACAGGAGGCTACGAGGGTTATAAGAAACTTACTTGTTTGTGACGTCGTAAACTCTACCAAAGGGCTTCCTTTACTCGAACCCAGACTATTCACGGCAAAGACTTGAAATTGATACGTTGAAAAGGGCTTCAATTGCTTCAATTCTAAAGACATTTTTCCGCGAATATTTGAAATCATCGTCCATTTTT